AAAGGAGCGCCTGGGTGGCTCAGTTGGTTAAGTGTCTGCCATTGGCTCTAAAAAAAGGAGCGCCTGGGTGGCTCAGTTGGTTAAGTGTCTGCCATTGGCTCTGGTCATGATCCCCAGGTCCTAGGATCTGATTGAGCCTCGAGTCCTGCTAAGCGGGGAGCCTGCTTCTCCCTTCCCCTCTGCCCCTCCCCCTCACTTGTATTCTCTCTCTCAAGCAAACAAACAAACAAAAGAAAAGGTACTTTGAGTCATGGCTACTCTGGCAATTTGGCTATGCATCACCTCCTCATCAGCAAACACCACTTGCTATTATGGTACTTCAACTCCACTTGGCACCATCTTCCAGTACTACATGCTATAAAACATTTCTATCTCACCATAAATTCTATCTATTTGGTCAAAAAAAAAGAAAGAAAATACATAATACATGAGCAAACTTTGTTCTGCTCTGAAATAGTTTTTAAGAATTAGCTTAAGACGGGGTGCCTGGGTGCCTCAGTCATTAGGCGTATGCCTTCGGCTCAGGTCATAATCCCAGCGTCCTGGGATCAAGCTCCGCATCGGGCTCCCTGCTCGGTGGGAAGCCTGCTTCTCCTTCTCCCGCTCCCCCTGGTTGTGTCCCCCTCTCGCCATGTCTCTCTGTGTCAAATAAATAAATAAAATCTTAAAAAAAAGAATTAGCTTAAGAATCTGTATCTTCGAACTTTTAACTGCATTAAAGATTTATGACTAAGATGTATCCCACTAGAAATAATGCTATACAGACTATGTCCTAGGTAAAGCCCAACAGTCCAAGACCAAGGTACGTTCTGCACTAACTAAATTTAAACTAAATAAAATCCTCTCTAAGCTGTTAAATGTTAAAATCTAAAAATGGAGTACAATTCTTATCCACATCAATTACAAATATTCCAAAATCAACATTCTAGTGTGATTAAAGAAAATCTAGAACATAAATACCTTCCATATCTGCAGCTTCTCCTTCGTCTTCTTCTTCCTCCTCCTCACATATTGCTGAGCAATCTTGAAGTTTTATACTGTCCTTTGAAATTAATTATAGTTAAAGTCACTTAAATATGTCCATTAGTTCAAACACTGAACACTCATGTGTCAGCACAATGCAAACCACTGTGAAAATAAGAGTCGTAAAGACAGTTCTTATCCTCAAGAAACTCCTACTCCAGTGGAGATAACAAATCCATAAACCAAATATTAAAAGTGATGTGCTAAGTGCTGTGACTGAAAAATATAAAACGTATCATAGAAGCACCAAGAATCATCTAAGCTAAATTTAACGATTTTTGCACTTCCAAAAAATAGTATTATTTAACCAATTCATTGGTTAAAATTACCTAAATTCTCACAACTTCTCTGAAAGGAGGAGACAATGTTAGTAGCACTTTACAAATGAACTCTAAAAGGAATAACACCAATATTAGAAAACTGGTTCAGAGTTATAATTTATCATATAATTTAAAGGAGAAAAAATGTATATATTTGTAAATCACATTTATTATTATAAATCAAACATATTCTAATTTGTTAACAATATTTTAGGATGACTTAAGTAAAATTATCAAGACTTTACAGTTATTATAACATGTAAGATTTCAGTTAAATTTTTAAGCTATATTTGCACTAGAATAAAAGAATAATACTAACCAAAGACGAGCCTAATATACAATTATCATTTTACAAAATCAATATTCTAAAAATCTAAAGTCAATGTAGTAAAGTATAAAAAACTGGACATCTAGTTTCACCCAATTTACAGTTTTACTTAGAGAAGATTTCTGTTTACCACTAGAAACTTAAATTACTTTTAATTTTTACTTAAATTACTTATCATTACCACACCCAAATGTGATACTAGAAGATAGTATCTAGATAATTATTAGATGAGCGAATATCTAACAAACTGATCATTACGGGAAATTTTAATCATGTTGATGTTATGGTGATCATACCTGAAACAGTAAAACACAGTAGAAATCCACAAGAAAGATTAATACTTGGGTCTGGACAACAAGTATTGTAAGAAATTATAAAAAATAATGTAAATTCTATATTAAATAGGAAATGACAGGAAAGACATTCAAGTTGTACATTATTCTAAGGAGTCATCTTTTAGTCTGACATAAGGATGTTAAGTGGGATAACAAGTACCATATTAACCATTACTGCATTTTAAAAAAATTCTTGAATTACCATAAACCTATCAAAAAATGCTATCCACACTACTCTGCCATTTATCATTCCCAAAGTGTGAAGCATATACAATTAATGGCTGGAGTAAACAAGATTTTCTAAAGTAGCAAAAGCCATTTTGGTGATTTCTCTTTAGTCGTTCAAATTCTCCAAAAAGTAGAATTTCAAAAGAATGAATTTTCAGGCCAATGAAGTGAACTTTAATCCCCAGCAAGCATAAAATTGTACATTGAAAAAAAAAAAAACAAAAAAAAACTTGTTTTAGTTTCTAACACTTCCTGTTAAGACCCAGTTATAAATCCCAAAAGATCCAAATGACAAAAACACACAGAAGAGAGTATCTTAAACTAGTAATTCTTATACTAAATGTTTTATAAGGACAAAAGAAACTCAATTACTCTGTCCAAATATCCTATCCTCTTAAGAGATCTGTTAAAAAATAATTAAGAAAAGATAAGGGTAAAGGCATTTTGTATTCTTTTCAAACAAATATATGAAAACAACTGCAACCATTTTCTCTCTAGAAATGAAAAGCTAATATAATACAGTCTGAATTAACTGAAAATTTTCAATCAGAAAAATTCCACCCAGTTATAGATTTTTACTCCCCTCCCCACAATAAATCATACAATAAAACCTAACTGATTTAGCTTCCACTCAGTCAAAATATGTATTTTGGATGATGTTAAAGTTTACCTTTAAGTTTTCAAAAACAAAAACTTCCACCCAAAATAGCAGTGAATTAAGAAACTATAAAATTTAAACAATATTATCATTAGCATCTAATCAGCAAGTACATAAACCTCAAAAACCTCGATTTACAGAACATCTGGGTACTTACACGTAAGAATAAAAAGCTATTTCTTTTAAACTAGCCTAGTAGCCTTCCCAATTGGTGAAAATTAGTAGTTACAATCTCAAAAAAAATTTTTTTAACCATACAACAGACTAAGGAAAATAAGCACTGGGCAGCAGCAGTTTGGATATAGGAAAGTGAGAGAAGAAAAAAACAACTGCAATTTTAAAAAGCTTGAAAATAATCAGGTTGAAGAAGAATATATATACATGCAAATAACTATGTCATTGAAATTTAGAAATGTAACTAATTAACCAGTACCTTGCTCTCCAATGTAATCTCCTTAACTGCTTCAGTTATTCCTGCAATACCTGTTTAAAATTTAAAAAAATAACTGAAATTGTAAACATCTTCTATTTACCAGATTCAAGCAACATATAAGCACTTAAAATTACCTAAATTCTCACAACTTCTCTGAAAGGAGGAGACAATGTTAGTAGCATTTTACAAATGAACTCTAAAATGAATAACACCAAAAACACTTTTCAAATTGGAAAAAAAAAAAAAAACCAATGTGATATTTTACCATGATTATTCTACTCTATCACTCATTTACTATTCCTCATTTACTTTCCCAGTGTGAGTCTCTACCCAACATATTCATTCTCAAAGTGAACACATTAGGAGACTACAGGACTCGTATTTATTTTTATTCAAAACCACAATGAAATTTTCTCAAGAAGATATTAATGTTATTTGTTCCAGAAATCTAGGACATCCAGAAGTAGTAATACCACACCACATTTATATGGGGCTTTCTATTTTATTGTTTCCATAGCTTATTTCAGCCTTACAAACACTATCCTTTGAGGTAATTAATAAATCATTTCTCCCTATGACGAAATAAAGTCTCCAAAGATGAAATAACTTGAGTCTCACAGTTAGTGAAGAAATTGGGATTCAAATCCACATGTGCTAACTTTTAGTTCAATGTTCTGTCCACTACACCTCATTAAGCAACTACTTTGAACCTACTTGTCTCAATGAAGGTGGCACTATGCAGAAGGGGCACCACAAGTCAGCTAAATAATATTTCTAATTCAAAATACATGTCAGTGTTTTTAATTCAACAGTTCAACAGGATGAAATACACTAAAGAGGAAAAAAAAACACCCTACATACAAAATAAGCTTTGCCCCTTTGTTAATCTTCTAAAACCTTTATATATCTGTTCAACATCTCCAAACTTAGTAACTTACTTTCACTAAGAGAAAATGTGACAATCCACAGCTCTAACATAAAGCTTTTACTTCATAGTTTTTCTACAAATTACTACATAACAAATATGATTATTTCATAACAATAAAACCCAAATCTTGGCAAGCTGAATTGGTATTACAAAACAATCAATGAATCCAGTACTTAGATACAAACAAAATAAACCTCTTCAATCCATCTCAATATAATAATGTAGTAGTATTCCACTAAACTAGACTCTTCTAAAAGTAGGACATACTGGCAAAGAAAAGAAAAGCTCAAATGACTCTAATGAGGGTAATATTCTCAAGAACTGTGATGGTTAATTTTATGTCACCTTGGCTAGGTTATCATGTCCAGATGCTCAGTTAAATACAAATGTAGATGTAGCTGTGATGGTTATTTTGTAGATTTTAACATTTAAGTCCAAAGACTGAATAAAGTAGATTACTCTCTATAACGTGGGTGGGCCTCATCCAATCAGTTGAAGGCCTTATAAGGAAAAACTGAGGTACTCAGTAAAAAGAAAGAATTCTGCTTTCAGACTGTCTTCAGACTTGAATTGAAACAATCAACCCTTATCTGGGTCTTCAGCCTGCTGGCCAGTTCGTCCTATAAACTGCCATCTTGCTAGCTCCTGCAATCATGTAAGCCAATTCTCAAAATAAATCTATCTATACCTAATACCTGTATCTATATATACATCAATTTTTCTGTGTCTCTGGAGAACCATGACCAATACAAGGGCTAAGAGAAATAAAAGAAACCTATGAGAAGTAAAGATGAAGCAAAGAGAACTGAGGTGAATAAGGAACCAGGCACAAGACCTTCTAAGTCAACTGGAAGCAGTGTTTTAATCAAATCACAATATAGTTTAAACTAAAATTCTAAGGATATCTCTCCAGCAGGGCAAACATTTTTTTAGTTGTTGAATTTCTATAATAGATTTTCATCAATCCAATCACACTGATACCTATTTATCTCCATAACGAATGCCTCTGTAAATATGCACCTAGATTTTGAGTTAGTGATTATGGAACTGAATACAACCAGACATCAAAATAAGTCATTTACTTGACATCAGAAACACAGTGCTATAACTAATGGCTCTAGTTAGTCAACAGTTTCCTACACATGTGCTGCCCACATCTTCCACCACAGGAAAACTAAAGCAGAACAGCTGAACAAATTTGGAAAGATCAAAAAATAAAGAAGTCCATCTACCAGCACTCTCAGTGGGGGAAATAGGATGATTCTTTAAATCATTTTAAAAAGTTGTTCAATCCACTATTTTACCAAGGCCTTGACATTAACGTTAAACTCAACTCATCAAGAAACAAACAAGTTTCAAATCAAGAAGCCCAAGTCCTGAATCTATGCCTATATCATCATAAACACATGACAATGTCCCTTTTTAAAAGTAGAGGGAAAACTGACCTAACAAGGTACTTTTTCCTGTGCAGATTACTTAGCTCTCTGACTACTGCAGTGGGTCTCAGCCGATGGCAGCAATTTTGCCCTTCATGGAATATCTGGCACTGTCTGCAGGCATTTTGAGTTATCACAACTGGGTGAATACTACTGGCATCTAGTGGGCAGAGACCAGAGATGCTGCTAAACATTCTGCAATGTACAGAAAATGCTACAGCAAAGAATCATGCAGCCCAAAATGTTAGTAGGGCTAAGGTTAAGAAACCTTGCTCTAGTACTACTTCTGATATACCTGCTACTTTCTAGGACTTCGTGGGAGAAAACTTATTTTTTAGTATTCTAGATTTAAACTTAGAACACATTTTCTTCATTAAAACTAAGTCATAAATGGCATTTATATAACTACATAAATTAACTATTATAATTAACTAATAATTAAGTACTATCATTAATTTATAGTATTGTATATAACTATATTTATATAACTATGTGAATGCAGATTAGTATACGCTGCTATAGCTAAGTTAGCATGGCTAAGTTAATATAGCCATAGCAGCATATGCTAATATGCATTTACATAGTTATATAAATATAGTGGCAAAATAGGTTTTTAGGACTTGAAATAAAAAATCATCTTCAGGCTTATAAATAACTTCTGCAAACATACACTTACAAAAGGCTTGAATTTAGTCAATTCTTTTAACACAAATTTATTGAACAACTTCTGTACCAGATACTATGTCAGATACTGAGGATTCAACGGTGACTCTCAACCTATAGTCTTTCAACAAATAAATATTAAATACTTCTAAATGCCAGCTCTCTGAGTAAAATAAACATACATATAGTTCCTGTCCTAAAGCTTATCATCCAGCAATGGAATGACATGTAAATTAAGGAATTCTAAAGCAAAGTAGTATGCCTATGCAGCAGTTCTGTCTTTCTTTCTTTAGAAATAAAGAAAATGATATGGGTATTTTCAATTTGCAACTGAAGTAGCAGTACTATAGAAATTTGGTATACTCCAAGGGCATTTTTTCTTTTTTTCCAATTTGTCTTCCTGCTTCTTTTCAGATAAAAGTCTATTGGGACAACTGTACCTTACGTATCCTTTGTTTTTGTTGTTTTTAAATCAACGCTGTAATAAAAGATTGTAAAAACATTTAAGACAATTTAAATTAATATATGGTCTTCTATTTTCCTCTTACCTGTGTTATGATAAGTATCTACCCATCCCCCATCACCATCATCTTCTTCAATGATAGCTTCCAATTCATCTGAATATTCCATCTGTTTGCACCGCTTGTAGCATGGCACTATAAAATAAATGGCAAACAGTTACTAGCACATAATCTGCTTCCTATAAATCTATTAGAAAAAAGAGACAGTTTAGTCCATTTTAAGGAAATATTATATTTCACTTCTAATAAAAGTGACTAAAGAGTTGTATGCAGTCCACAGACACATTAATGACCACATTTATCTTTCCCTAATGGCTTTGTTAGAACACAAATAGAAAGGCTCTACTGGAAATTTTCTATGTATTCTTTACCCTGATGGTCTGTGAAGAACAGCAGGCTAGAGCCAGACATAACATTGTTCAACTTTAGGCTAATGAATACCTTATTTTAACAGCTTTACTCTCAAAACAGGAAGGCACCACCTGTCATTCTCAGGGGTGGTAGAGGTGACCTCCAGTTTGCAATGCTATAGTAACTTTTAATATGTATTTCATAATTCTTATTTAAGTTCCAGCTATTCATAATGGATAAGCCAGTGTAAAATTCACTAAATTGCTACATTTTACCATCTTACACAATATTGGAGCCAAGTTTTTCATACAGTACATGTGTCAATTAACAGGTATTATTCATATAAGCCTAAAACTTAACAATTATAATGTAAAAACATGATGAAATGGCTATTAACCTCTTGATTTAAAAAAAAAAAAAGCAGGGTATGAATGATCAATTCTAATAAAACATATGCTGTAGGAAAGAAAAAAACTGATTTGTTATATATATTTTCCCTTTCTGTTAATAGATAAATTAGGACAAAAATCAATGCACTTTATGTGGTTAGATAGGAACTATAACAACCTTCTGATGCTGTTTTCAGAATTAACTTCATAAATGACAAACTAGCAGTTTCAAAAACATTTTTTGTTCCTAAAGGCAATCTTTCAAAGACACAATCTTTAGCTTGGAACTTTTAAATGTCAAAGGTAGTATCAATTTCATTTTTCATGACAAATGTTTATGTCTAAAGAAGATCAAAATCAAATAACCAAAAAGTTTATAATTATGAAGTCAACTTTAAAAAAAGGCAATCAAAATTCCAAATTCCAAATTTGCTTGGGCCCTTTCCCTCCACATCTTAAAACCAGACCTTTTTGGCAAAAAGTAGTGACAAAAAGGAAGGAGGTAAAAATGAAATACAGAAAAAAATACTCTAGCAATAGAAAACCCAGAGTTTCATCAAATTTCCAAATTTCTGTATGGCTTCAAGCATAAATTAAGATCAGTAAATGCTAAGGTTTTGGGCACGTGGGTGGCTCAGTCGGTTAAGCATCTGACTCTTGGTTTCAGCTCAGGTCATGATCTCAGGGTCCTGAGATGGAGCCCCACATCAGGCTCCCCACTCAGCAGGAGTCTGCTGGAGATTCTCCCCTGCTTCTTTTGCTCTCTCTCTCTCAAATAAATAAATAAATCTTCAAAAACAACTTTTAAAAAAATGCTAAGGTTTTTTGTTTTTTTTTTACCACAACTCTTTGTGCAAAATTCACTAATATATGCAACGTAATTCTTACCATTTTTGGTGACCAAAAATTGTTTGCCTGTTGGTAGGTATGCCTTCACTTTCAATTCTTCCCCTGTAGCCCTTTAAAAAGAGCAAAAAGCACCAAAATATAAGAACTATTTTAAAAGGCAAAGACAGAACAGAAGATATCACATGTAAATATCAAAACTACACAATCCACACTCCTGAGAAAATTGTTTTAGGACTAGTTTTGGAAGGATGCCATTAAGTGATGTATGTTAGGGCATGGAAGAGCATAGCATTATAAGTGAAATGTACTAAGAGACGCAGAGAGACCTAAGAGAATTTAAATTAAATATTAGATAAAAAAGACAGAATATAGAACTATTAAGCAACTATTATGTTTGCCTCTAAACAAAAAGAAAATGTTGTTCCCTAGGGAGTATAATCTCAGACTTTTAATTCTCAAATACTGCTCATCTTCAGATCAAGAAGAGGCAGAAAAATATCTGTAGGACATTACATAACAAAGTAGGTGGTTGGCAAGATCCCTAAAATTGGAACGGAGAGAAAAAAGATGCTTTGAATCACAAGATGGTGATATTAAAAATAATGACTGAAAACAGAAAAAAAACCCCTTTCATTGAGTGTTTACTTAGAACTCTAACATGCATTATTTTTATTTACTCCTCAGAACCCTAAGAGGTGAGTAATATTAATATCCCCATTTTAGCTTAAAGAAGTCAGATTGCTCAAGGTCAGGAAACCAGAACATAGAAGAGCAAGTGAATCCAGGGCTCCTGCTCTTAAACACTACTCTCTCTGTGGGTCAGACCAGCTATACCACTTCTGATTTTTCATAGCTACCCTGGACTATCTTACTAAGAATTTGTTCAAAGATTCTTCTGTGGGTCACCTAATGGAACTGGCCAGAGCTGGAGTGGCATGTGTTATCTGTCACAAACATCTGAAAAAAACTTGGAGTCTATTGCCTTTTATCAAAGCTTCAGTCTAAAGTTTAAACCACAGGTACGAGCACAAGATAAAGCCAGAAAATGACCTACTATCTTAGTAACCTTCTAGGCCTCTTTAAACCATTCTCAAGTGTCAAATTCAATAATGACATGGCAATGCCTGAAGTTCTGAGTGAAGAATATACAATACTCTCATGATGGCATTTGTAGACACAAAACTGTAACATGGAAATAACCTGTTTCTAGCACTGGTTTAAAATGAATTGTTCCGGGGCGCCTGGGTGGCTCAGTTGGTTAAGTGTCTGCCTTCAGCTCGGGTCATGATCCCAGGGTTCCGGGATGGAGCCCCACATTGGGCTCTCTGCTCAGCGGAGAGCCTGCTTCTCCCTCTCCCTCTGCCTGCCGCTCTACTTGTGCTCTCTTTCTGTCAAATAAATAAAATCTTAAATAAATAAATAAATAAATAAATAAAATGAATTGTTCCTTTGGCCCCAGTTCAGCCAGAAGTGCGGACGCTGGAGTAGTGTATAACTGAGTTCTAAATTATTTCAACTATCACAGTTCATAAAGTGAAACTATAAACTACCTGCTAAAAAAAGATCCTGTCCATATACACATATTCCTGCAACAATATTATAAATCATATGTCTGAACTAATTAGACAAATAAGGACTATCACAAAGAAACCTGAAGAAATGTGTATCTATTATATTGAAGAAAATCCTAAATTAGTTCCTTTTATAAAATGGATGTTATTTTAAATTTTATATACCTCTTTGACTTCAAATACATAAAAATTATAGGCTAGAACAAAGCTAAATATAATTTTAATAGACAATTTATAATTTAAAAAAATCAATCACCCTTACTAAATCATCAGAGAGCTGCTATGATATTAACTCAATTTTAAATATGAAACAGAAATACATATAAGGAAGACAAGGGCATAAAAATAAATGAACCTGACATTTTGGCCTTTCTTGGTACATTAAGAAATAGTGTTCTAAAAGATAAAGCGCAATTGATAAAAAGCTGTAAAACAATTTTGGTTATGAGTCAAATATAAAAATTGAGAAGAGAATAGGCCACATCTAAAAGAGAGTTCCAACTTTGGCTTAAAATAGTTTTAACTATTTATACGAAGGAAAACATTATCAGTTCTAACTTTATTTAGAAACCCTGCTCCCAAATTAAAACTGTACCTTTCAACCACAACTGAAAAAGTGTCACTAAGGGAATTAAAATAAAAAGAAAAAAGGATATAACAAGTTGAACCACTTATATCCAAACAAGATGATAATTCCAAAACAATTCTAGCCTAATTAAAATAGCTCTGCCAGTATTGGGATCACTTTTTCAGCCAGTCAGGTGGTTTTACCCTAAGTACTTAAACATAATGAAACAGCATTTGTTTTAAAACGTTCTCTTATTATTCAGAATATTTAAAATATGTTATGAGATCTGCTAAGTTGCTTAAATTACTTTTTCTAAATTAACTTTTACAATAAAAAAAGTTTATGAAAAAAACAAAAATGTAAAAAGTCTATTACCAGCAGATTTCCAGTTACGGCCTTTAATGAGTATCATGAACTTTCCCTTTCAACTAATTCCTAAAGTGCGAGCATACTTTTGAACCTTATAGAAGGTCTTATGATTAAAAAACCTAAGACTTTGCAAAATATCTGCATTTATTAATGTTATAAAAATATTCAGTAAACATTTCAGTTTGAAAAAAATGAGCTGGTCAAATTTATTAAACTCTTGAACATTATTTTTTAAAGATCCACCACAAAATCAGACCTAGACACTACAGAGAGAGGGAGTACTAAAGAAGAAGTAAAGGCATTTATCTTAAAAATGTCTCTTATATTCTAACAGAGCAAAACAAAATAGGTATAACAGCCAATTTGTCAGCCTTTATTTTACCTTAAGTATCACTGGCACACTGCTTAACAGAAAAATCTACTAGAACAGAGTTAAATTGGTCATTCTAAGGTTCATGCCCTCATCCATTTTGCAAACTGCCACAATTATAAAGTCATACTTTTTACTAATTTCTATTCCTCACTCAAGATTACTTACCATTGCCATGTTGGACAGTGGTGGACTAAGTGATCTCCAGCTGCCACAAACTATTTAGAATTGAAAAGGAATATAAAAAAAAAAGGAAAAAAAAAAATTGAACATCACTGAGTGTAAGATGATAAAAAACCGAAGTGATCATCCTGTGTAAGCTTGATACCCAATAATCATACAAATGCAAACAGCACCAAACTTGCTCTACTAGTCTGATGATTTTTGATTATTACGCTGCAAAATTTTTTACATCCATAAAGTTTAAATTTTGCAAGAAAAAACACTGAGTGCTATTTATTTATTTTAAATTCAATTTTTATCATTGGATTAAATAATGCCAAAAGGATACAGTATTATGAAATGAATAAAGGTAACACTGCAGGATTTAAAATGTCAAAACCATTTTATGGATAAATAAGATGAAGACAGATTCCTGCTAGGGGCTTAAAATTCAATGAAGATCTTTGAGAAAAATTACTAAATAGATAAAGGCCTATGATGTAAGGAGTTTATGACATCACAGTGCACATTTCTCTCTCTTTTTCACGTGAACAAGAGTGAAAAATGTAATGCCAAACAATGGGGAAAGTTAGAAGCTTTTGGATTGACTCAGAAAATACCAACACAGTTAAGAAATTGAATCCTCTAACACCTTAGACTTTCTGGGCAGGCTGAACATTGCAAAAGTTTTTGTTTTTCTTCAGAAATCAAAAACAGACTCAGGAAGAAAGAGTTTAACCTTTTGCGAATTTCCATTATACATGAGCATGAACTGACCTTACTGTAAGACAGAAATCCTGCTTATTCTTGAGAGCAGAAAATGAAAGAAAGTCTCTTAAGCATGACTGCAGTGTCCCAACTCAGGCAATACAGACACATACTTTCCTAATTACTTCTATTTCATAATAGCTCTAACTTAAATTCATGTATTGTTCATGGTTAATTACACAGCAAAAAAATACAGTATCTTTAATCTTCTAATGTTTGTCTCAGAAAAGAATTTCTATATATAATACTCTATTTCCATTTAAGAGAGTAAAAATTTTATAAAATAAGTTTTCTAAGAGTAATTTCTTTCAAGAGATACATTAACAAGATTTAACAGCATATTCCCAACAGCAACTTTTCAAATGTTTCTATTCTTGTATTTTAAAGAATCTTATTATTATTTCAACTAGTTAGGTAAAGACAAAAACCCAAATAAAAACAATACTCCCTCCCAAAGTTTTAAGCATTTTAGGTCGTTGTAACCAAATGCTACCTTTAACTCTGTGGTTACCAGGAACTAATTTATCACCACCAAAAAAGTATTAATTCAACAAAATGCAAGCAAACAAAGAGTTAAAAATTTATAAATTCTTTAATGATATTGCCTTGTCACAAGACTCTAATATTTTATTCTCTGGCACCTCTAGTAGCATCTATTAAAAAAATAATAGGAGCACCTGGCTAGCTTAGTCAGTTGAGCATCAACTTATATCTTGGGGTTGTGAGTCTCAGCCCCACATTGGGTGTAGAGATTACTTAAAAAATAAATAAAATTTTTTTAAAAATAACAAACCACTAGAAGGAAAGAAAAACTATAAAAGAACATAGAATTGCACAGATAATTAGTACATGTGTATATCTGCCCTCTTTAACAGTGGCCATTATTGCAGGCTTCATATGCTCAAATGAAACAAAATGTAAGGCAGACTCAAATTTCTCAATTCTCAGTATCCCTTGCAGTAGCTTTCTCTCAGTGATTAAATATTATACAATACTGAATAACTCCAAGATAGAACCAGTTATTAACATTTTGGTCAGCAACTTTATCCTTCAAGCTATTCTACTACTAATACTCTACTTAAGTCATACATATGTATATTAAAGTAATTTTAGTCAGGCAATTCTGTATTAGATAATGCCTACCCCTCTTTTTAAACACAGTACTTCCAACAGCTCTCAATGAAAACACAGAGAGAGCTGGAGGATAAGAGCCAGAAGCCCAGAAACAGTAAGAGAAAACAAATAAATAGATCACCTCAGTAGATCTTTTATCCAAAGCAAATTATGTCTTGTTTTCCTCCTCTAGACTCATTCTAATCTAACTCAATCCCGTAACCATGCTCTATCTCAATCCAGCATTATGTGGTTGGTACCCAGCTAAGCTAGTTTTGCCTTGCATTTTTTTAAAAAAAGGAGTAAATTCATAAACCACTTAATGATACAGTTAAGTGTTATTCATTCTATGGTTAGTAGCTGTTTTAAAATAGCTTCAGTCTATCCAATGACCACAGACTTGCACCTCTAACTCCAACCATCTATTTACCAATTAGTCATCTTCCCATAGATAAAGCCAAAGAGTGCAAGAAGAACAGCATACTTTCATCCCTGCTCCTGATTTCAAATAGTTTTAAGAGCCAAGTCTAAATTACACCTCTGTTTGGCAAGAAAGTTAACAATATCAAAACTTAGTTTTATGTGGCATTCAAGGTATTAAACTCATGGTGCCTAAGGTAGAATAGGTCCTTTAGAGAATGTCTAGCCAAAATCCCTCATTTTACAAACAAGGAAACATGACTGTCAAAGCTTAGATTTGCCCAAGTCAGAAAAGGAGAAATTAAGAGAAATGGGCCTAGAAGGCAAATCCCCTATGTTCTTTCTATACCACCATGTGTCTTCATTAAAAATAAAGATAATTTTAGATAAAAGATCAATTCAGCGCACCATCCTCAGAACTCACAAAGATTTGGGACTCAAAAGATTCCATCACAATTGAAAACTGAAAGATCAGTTAATTCTTAGGCTTGAGGTCTTAGATCTGGCAATAGCCAGATCATAAAATATGCCCCAATTCAAAATGTTTCTTTCAATACAATAAGTAAAATTCTATTGCCAAATAAGTGGTATTTTTAATGAAAGTTAAAGGTGAAACTTAAAATAAATTCTTTGCTATTTATTAAGACTAAAAAATAAGTCTGATGCAACCATAACTATTCATGAAACTGGGATGTAAAAGGATGTTTAGAACATCCTTCTCTAAGGATAACAAAACAAACTACCTAAAGGAAAGAGAACACTTTTATTATACAGATTTGGTGATCAAGTAAAGTGATTCCTCAAATTATTCCTTCAAATAATTCTATGTTAAAAGTTCAATAAAACACAACTCATCTATAAAACAGACATCAGTTTCAGTATTAAGCAGATTCAACATTACTTGGTTAATAGAAAAAATGAAAGAATTGTGAGAAAAAAATCAGCATTAAGTATGTAGCAATAAAATATTTAAGCTAAATACTGAAAGAAAATTTAATATCCAAGCAGAGAGCCAAAGTTTCCAAATGAAAAGCCACAAAAACTCATGTTTGATATAGACAGAGGCAAGACAGCAGCAAACACCACAGAGCCCATTGTATAGCCTCAGTGTAACACAAATATGAGTGGAGGGTAAACAACCATCAGAATCTTTTCCATTCCCTCTCCCACCTCCATTTCTAAATAAAGAGGAACTATAAAGAAATATGAGAAGTGGCAAACTGAGACAGAAGTTACATCCTCTCTTATGGGAAGTAGAAATCCCTATAAAATTGCTAATATAGTCAAAAGAATCAAGATTGAAGTTTAAGATGTTTCCTTATAAAGCCAAAAAACCACCCAGATAAATATAAAATATAATAGCTTCAGAATATCTTTAACACTCACCTCTTCTGGGGTGATAACACCTGTTTCCTTAAACTTTGATTCCTAAAGAAAGCAAAAATAACATATTATTTTTCACTTTCAAATTAAAAATGTTTGTGGGCAAGTATTTGTCTGGCACCCTTCCAGGCAACAGAGCACGTACAAAAAAGAATCTATTACTGGTACCTGACCCCAAGGAATATACAAGTCTAATGAAGGTAACTGACATGAAAATAATTACAGTGCAATTTGATCAGTGCTATAATAGAGCAAAGCTCTTTGGAAAAACATTAAGCCTTACAATGATTTTGTGAAATGACCAAATATCTTTATTTTACAGAACAGTAAAAATGTCTTAAAAATGTTTAGGGAAATTTTACTATTCGGCCAACATCTCCAACATCTCATTTCAATTGAGTAACACTAGAAAATCTAGAAGTCATAAATCATTTAATCCTTTCCCATTATTTATTTAATTTTTTAAAAGATTTTATTTATTTGACAGAAAGAGACAGGGAGAGAGGGAACACAAGCAGGGGGAGTGGGAGAGGGAGAAGCAGGCCCCCCGCGGAGCAGGGAGCCAGATGCGGGGCTTGATCCCAGGACCCCGGGATCATGACCTGAGCCAAAGGCAGACGCTTAATGACTAAGCCACCCAGGTACCCCAATCCTTTCCCATTATTATCTCCAAGATATTGATACAATATTTTCTCCTCTAAAGCAAAGATGCTATTTACCAAATATTTCTAAATTTTAAGTTAAATGTTAAGATTTTGTAGTACAGTCTACAAAAATGAAAGGATTCATTGATGAACATCATTATTCAACAAGTATTTACCAAATAACCACTATGTGTCAAGCACTATTTGAAGTAAGGGGGATATAGGAGTAGGTAAAATAGACCAAACTCAGCCTTGTCCTCATAAGGAGTTTAAACTTTAGTGGAGTGAAAAAGCCAAATGGTAATGAAAACCACAAGGAAAAAAATGAGGCAGCTAGGAAACTGGTCAGGGGTGGAGGGAGAGTGATGGCTATTTAAAATAGGATGGTGGGGTGCCTGGGTGGCTCAATTGGTTAGGTGGCCAGCTCTTGCTTTCTGCTCAGGTCATGATCTCAGGGTCCTGGGTTGGAGCCCAGGGCATGGCGCCCAGGGCATGGCAGGCTCCATGCTCGGGGCGGGGGGAGTCTGCTTGAGGATTCTCTCTCTTCCTCTCTCCGTCTGCCCCTCCCTCCTCTTGCTCACACACGCACTCTCTCTAAAATAAATAATCTTAAAAAAAAAAAAATAGGGGTGCCTGGGTGGCACAGTCGGTTAAGTGTCCAACTCTTGGTTTCGGCTCAGGTCTGATCTCAGGATCATGAAATCAAACCCTGCATCAGGCTCCATGCTGGGTGTGGAATCTGCTTGAGTTTCTCTCTCCCTCCTCCCCACCTCTCTCTCTAAAATTAAAAAAAAAAAAAATCGAAAACAAATAAATAATAAATAGGATGGTTAAGAAAACAAAGGTTTCACTGATAGGTGACTACTGAGCAGAGACCTTAAAAAAATGAACAAGGCACAAGGCTGTAAAAGAGCACTTTAGGCAGATGGTACACCGAGTACAAAAACCTGAGGCAAGAGAGTATTTGATGGAGTAACAATGAGGTCAGACTAGCTCAAGTAAAAGTGAGCAAGGAACAAAGCTACATTGCGATTAAGGGCCTCTATCCATCAAGTAGCAGCTTGAAGATCATTGTAAGAACTTTGGCTTTTACTGTACCTTGACTTTTCTTAATTTCTACTTGCTAGGGTAAGTCATTGTTTTCTTTCCGAAGGATTTAGTTTTTCCTTCTTATGTCTAGTAGGAAACTACAAGGATCCTCTCTGTAAATAGGGACGGGCAAGGAGAGGGTCAGTAATTCTGCTTTCCTTATTACTGAAAATACATACTGACAAATATATACTGACAAACTAACCCTTTCCAGTTTGGAGAATAAGCAAAATGATTTCTCAAAACATAATTCTGTTATAAGTTCGATAAAATACAACTGGCCAATAAAACAGAAGTTTTTTTTAAAGACTTTATTTATTTGACAGAGAGAGAGAGAGCACAAGCAGAAGGAGCAGGCAGAGGGAGAGGGAGAAGACGACTCCCCGCTGAGCAGATAGCCAGATCCCAGGATCCTGGGATCATGACCTGAGAGGAAGGCAAGATGCTTAACTAACTGAGCCACCGAGGCGCCCCTGAAACATTAGTTTAATATTTAATTTGGGAACTTTTTTTTTACTCTTTCTCTCTGAAACTAAAGAGTTTAACAATCGTATACTATTTAAATGCTGCATATCTAGGTAGACATGTTTCTGAAAAATGACATGCAAAAGAATCATTTGATTCAAACATCAGAATAATTTTCAATTTCAAAGATGACTAATATTAATTACAAAGAATTTTACAGTAAAAAATATATAAGCATAGCAAGAGTTGGAATTTTCATTTATAAACTTTTCTTTTTTTGTTTTAAACTTGGCCCAACAAGGTATCATTTTAAAATCAGTCTTAGAAATAAATATTAAAAAAAGTACATGACTAACATTTCCCTTTGTCATGGAAAGGGAGCAAAGTAAAACTATCCACTATTCTTCTTAGCATACTAGGATAACTTATTATAATGAAGACCAACCATATCCAAGGATATTTCATCCCCACAATAAGATCTGTAAAATTTTCATTGAAAGCTTAAAAAAATAAAAGCACTTAAGAACTCCCTATTCATTTATTCTCACTGCTCACTTATCAGAAAGGAAAAAGTTACAATGACAAAAAACTTATAAGACTTATAAAACTTGAATGTACTTCTAGAAATTTATCTCTGAAAATTAAAGTCACTGTTAAAATAGCTAATCTGTTACTACTTTTACTTTAAAAACACTGTATTATTGACAAAGAAAAAAAAGAGTAAATATAGGAGGATCAAGCTGCTGGTTATTAACAAAGAAGTACAGGATTTACAAAGAGTTTTCGGCTATTTTAAAAACTCGGAAAGGGAAGTTTTGCCTGTTAGTTGGGTTCAACGATGCTGTCAGAGATAATGTTGCAATTCACCTTGTTCCTCTGAAATCTAACAAGAGGGTACCTCAATCACAACTTACTATTTCAAGCTCCTAATTATAAGAGACTTTCTATGACATTTGAAAGAAAATACTGACATGTCATTTTACTACCAAATACTGATTTCGTTTTTAAAAAGATAAGCAAAACTAAAAAGTTTAAAAGACTTCCAATGTTAAGATTTATGTTCTCAAATCTACTTAGCTGCCGACCACCTTCCAACTTGACGTACCCAGACGCGCCGGGTTCTGACGGGTGGCGACAGCAATGCGCACACAGCGTCGCTCCAAGTTTACCTGAATTCAGAGCCCGAAAGCCCTAGAGAACAGCTCGGTAAGACCTCCGGTAGGGCTGCACCCTTTCCTGTGTCCCACCCTTACCACCTTCCTACACTTTTCCCCGCCGGAGAACACGGTGTCCCTCCCGGCGCCGGGTCCTCAATTCCTGCGGAGTTGAGCGTGTACCTGACCAGCCCATGGCAAGCCCGGCCTGGCTTACCTTGAGGACCGGGGTCAGGTACTCAGCCACTTCCAGTGCTTTTCCCTTCACCGTGTTAATCACATTCTGCATCCTGGGGCCGGAGAAGCGGCCGGCCCCGCGACGGGGCGGCAAGGGCAGCCGGGGAACGGACGGGAGTCAGAAAAAATCCCCGCTGCCGCCGACGCGCATCAGCACCCGGTCGGCGGCACCCAAGGGGACGGGACGCGACGGGACGCGACGGGACGGACAGGACGAGGGGGAGGGGCGGCCGGCGCCAATCGCGAGGGCAGGGCGCGCGCTGCTCGCCACCCAGGCAGTTCGCGGCGGACCGGGCCAAGGTGTCACCTGGCCGCGAGGGAGGGCGGCGGGGACAAGGGGAGAGTTAGGAGAGGCGGGCGCACGCGCACCCCTCGCCTTCTCGGGAGCTGTCTTCTCCCCCTTGCTTCACTCGCGCCCCTTCCGGCTTCCCCTTCTCTCTCTTGCCGTAGCTCCGCCGCCACCTGGGCCTCACGTGACTTAGGACTCTCCCGACACGTGACGCGAGAAAGGGCGCGCTGGGGCGGGCTCAGGCCACTTCTTCCCTCCTTCCGGAAGCGTAACACTGAACGCGCCTGCGCAATGGGTACCAGGTCCGCTCTTTCCCAGTTGGGACGTTATTGTGCTTTTTGTTCCGGAATAGGAGGCTCCGGGGCGGAGGCTTTTTGGTCTTTCTTTTCTTCCCATAGCTTCCCCAACTATGGACCCTAAAAGCTACTGCTGCTTCTGCGGAGTTACACAGTTACTGCCTCAGCTCTAAGATGTGCGCTCCTCCACTAAAAACCCTTCGGACGGACGGACAGAGGTAACCTCACCCGGCTGACAAGTGCGCGTGCGTATGAGGGGAGGGCGCTCCGCTCGAGATAACTACTGCGCATGTGACAAGAAGGATTCTGCCCCCCCCCCCGCCCCTTCCCCCCCGTTGAGGGAAACCTGCCTTCCTAGCGTACATCTTTGACCTCTACGCTTGCGCGCAGGTGGGCTGTCCGTATTGACGTTTCAAGCCCGTCTGTCTCGATGTTCTAGGCCCTGTGCACCATCCCTGCAGTGGGAGGCTGTGGAGGAGTTACCCTGCATAGAGGTTTCCTCAACATATCAAAAAGACGACCTTAGAGGCATTGATTTTTAAGCTCTCTTATGCTTTTACCACTAGTTAAGTATAAATTCACAGCACTGTTTCACATATTTCCATTTGGCTCTTTATTGTAACGAAATCTTTCCCAGCAAGCTCTTTTCCCACTTTCTAGAGAAGTGCTGCTACTGAGGAGAACAACAGAAATCTGAAATTCTCTTCCTCTAGAGCAAAGTTGCTAATAGGAATCGAAGTTAAAATTGCTTTCTGCAGAATTCAACAGCCCCAATGTGTCAGTTGCTCACTTGCTACTTTGGGTAGCACTTATAATCTGGCACTGCCTTTTCTGTCTCTCGAGTTTCCCCTCCTATCAGATTCTGGCTCTTTCATTTTTTCTCCATTTCCTCTTGTTCTCCTCAGTTTTCTTGGTTTTGATATAACCATAGCTGGAAATCTACATCAGTTCTTTTCTGTTCTTCACTGATCAGTGGTATTTGTTCTATGCTTTTCTGCCTGCAGCGTTGCTCACGAATATGTTCTTTTCTTTAAGGCAATTAAAAAGCAGTGGAATGGAAAGCAAGTGCTGTGGTCATCCCATGTTCTGCTCCTTGTCAACAATGTATACCTTCCTGTTAGGCACCATATTCATTGCTTTAAGCTCAAGTCGAATCCTACTGGTAAAATATTCAGCCAATGAAGGTAAGTTAAGACTTGGAATATATGGAGCACTTCTATCTAATCACACATTATGTCTCCTGTGTTTGGTCTCCTTATGTGTAAAATAGAGATAATACCCTTTCAGGTACTCTGCTTCATGTAAATGATAAAGTATGTTTAAATTTGATTCTGTAACCTCTCATTCCTGAGCAAGAAAAATGTTTGATGCTGAATGAAATTTGGATTAGTCAAGTGCAGTGCTGAGCCCTTTAGAGAACAGATAATAACATCTGACTGTTGCTTTAATCAACAGATATCTCTGGGTCTGTAGCAGTACGTGTAATTATAACTTACTTTGAAATAGGAGCATATATATGGTCACTTGGCATTTGTGAGGTACTGTCTTAATTACTATACCAGTGTGGCAGTAGAGATTATTAGCTTTGAAATTATTAGCTCAAGAAGTCTTCTGGTTGGGTTTTTTTTGTTGTTTGTTTGTTTGTTTTTTTGGGAGAGAGCTTGTGTGTGCATGGTGTCGGGGAGGGGGCCAAGGAAGGGGGAAAGAGAGACTCTTAAGTAGGCTCCATGTGTGGTGCAGAGCCCAGTGCAGGGCTTGATCTCAAGACCCTGAGATCATGACCTGAGCTGAAATCAAGAATCAGACACTTAACCAACTGAGCCACCCAGGTGCCCCTTCTGTTTTTTTTTTTTTTTTTTAATGTAGGAATTTGTATTTAGATAAACTATTTCTACAAAGCTGTATTGAGAACCTTTCAGTAGTTATTGAGGACACACAAAGTCATGACATCACGACCCTTAATGGTTTGCTTGTGGAGTCCGATGTGTATATAAATCTCTACTTTGGTTAACATTTATCTCTCGGGCACTAGGCCAAGTATTAAGTAGCAGTGTTCAAAGTGTGTAAGACATAGACATTGTTCTCAAGAACTCGGTTTATTAGGAGAGCCGTACGTGTGAAACATCATGAAAATATGGTAGAATAAATGCAGTTCTATATCAAAGATGCAGAGATAGTTTAGATTAGGAAGTGATATATTCTGTCCGGGAGAGGATGGTATGGAGTGCAAAGGGATCAGGGAACACTCCCTGATAAGGCAAAGTTGCTCCACAAGAAGACCAGTGGGCAGGGGCATTCAGAACAGAAGCAACAATCCATAAAAATGAATAGATACGTTAAAAAAAAAAAAAAAGATGAATTATGAGAACATGTACTTCAGAATTACTGAGCAAAAAGTTTAAGGACTTGGAGGAGAGGGGCAAAGCGTGCTTGACTAGAGAGGAAAGTTATGATCAGATACTTAAGGACTTCATATGCCATGCTAAGGAGCTGGAACTTTGACTTTATTCTCTAGGCCCTAGAGTCTGAGGGGTGGGAATGCTTGAAGATTATAAACAAAATGAGAGAGACTGTTACGGTAGCTGGATAGAGGATGGACTCGGGAAGAGACTGGAAGCAGAGTAGCCAGTCGAGGTTATTGCAAATTCAAGCCATAGATGAAGAAGACTAACCAAGGCTTTTGAGGTAGAAATAGAGAAGAGAGGATAGATTAAAAAAAATACTCTAAACATAGAAAAGCCAAGACTCTGAGAATGTAATGAATATGGAGACTAAAGAACATGAAATACTCTATAGCTCAAAGGTTTCTGGTTTGAGGTGCTAAGTAGATTGATGGTGTTCTCAGCTCAGACGGAAGCTATTAGTAGAAAGAAGCAGGTGGGCCAGAATTTAGAAAGATTACAGAGTTTTAGTTAGGTACCTTCCATGAGGCCAGGAGCTATGTCCTTGTTCATTGCAATATTCTGCACTATCTAGCACATCACATATGTGAAGGAAATACCAATTGAATTCATACAAAGAAGGTAGTTATTCATGTGGATATGTTTAGTGAGCATTAAATGTTCCAGAATACAGATTTGGAGACATTAATATTAAATTGACATTTACAACCATAGGAGCAGAGAGCTCATTCAGGGTAAGCATGCAGAAGGAGAAAATAAGAGCCAAGGATAGAATTACTAGGAATGCCAACATTTAAGAGCCATGCCGACACTCAGATGTTAAGAAAGAATCATTAGAGAAATAAGAGAACTAAATGCACATGACTTACAGAAGGGAAGGAAATGAGTTTGGAGACAAAGGAAATAGTATCATCATAATAAGATAGGGATTAAAGCGTGCCCTTTGGAATTAGTAATTAGAAGATGTTTGGTAATCTCAGAGACTAGGTAGTTTGAATAAAGTGATGGGATCAGAAACCAGATTGCTTGGGAATAAGACCTGAATGGAAAGTGGGTAAAAGGGAGATAATGAATGTTGGTGCTATTTTAGGGAAAGAAGGAGAAAGTATGGTATAGCTGGGGCAGGGGTAGGATCTTATATTTTGGTTTTTTTTGGATAGGACAGTTTGAGCATACTTACAGGCCAAAGGGAGGAAGCCAGTTAATAGAAGACAGAGGAAGTACTTATTGGAGCAAAGTTCCTGAAGAGAAAGGAAAGTTTTAAAGGGGAGAATGGGTCATAATGGATCATGGCCCCTTTCTTCGGACTAAATGGAGCCCAGTAAGGATGGATGCAGTGTAAATAAGGTGTATGCGTGAGGGCAGAAGGTAAGCACAAGGAGGCCCAATGTGATGCTGAGTCACAGTTTGGGATCTACCATGACAGAAATACAATTTAAAAATAAATAAAAGCCAAAGTGAGTTCTAGAGCAGTGGCAAGAATTTGAGAGCTATAATCTGAAGGCCTCTCCCCCGTTCTTGTTGTGTGCATGTTCGCTTGTGTGTATCATAGAGATTAGTCCAAAGTAATTATTAGCAGGTAGTAGAGTGTGATCTCAGCCTAGCTTTAAGCTCAGAGAAGGGAGGAGAAGTTTTAATGAGGCTTCAAATGATGGAGAAAGTTTAACAGGCAAGTATTAAATTCAGGTGAACATTTATTAAGTGCAGAATACTGTTACCTGCCAGTTATATGAAGATGACTAACGTGGGCCCTTTCTCATAAGAAGCTTACATTCTAAGGTAATACATACACAGAAGTAACTATAATACAGTGGGACAAGTACTGCTATAAAGGTTTATAGGTAGTGCAGCAGGATCCGAGATGAACAAAGAATTGACTATGCTTATGTTGAGAAGGTCAAGGGAAACCACAGAAAAAAGAAAAAAGGTGTTCTGGATAGAAAGAATGCTGAGCTGGCATTTTCCCTCTGTACTTGGCCAGTTTTGGTTTTTCATATCATGACCAAGGGAAACAAGCAAATGTTTCGAAAGGGGGGATAATGCATTCCTTAAAATAGGACCTAACAAAGTTTGTTTGTTCCTGGCAAAATTGTATAGCAAGTTGTTTGTCAGCATTTGGAATAGACAGAGGTAACAGCTAAGACCGAGGCATACTGACCTAACCTCATTTCCTAATTAAATTGACTTGTAAGTTAAGACCTATCTTCCCAACTCATCAGTGGGTTTGGATTATGTCAGATATTTCCTCCCAGCCCTAGAGGTAGCCAGAGCCCTGGGCAGTTGCCTCTTGGCTCTAATAGCTTCCTTCTTTTACCCCAAGGTACTGTTTATCCCAGAGTGCCAAACAAATAACGTTTTCTATACATGCCACGATACGAAACAGATGGGACTACTCTAAGGGAATATCACAGACTGTGTACCTTGATTCTAGCAAGGCAGACAAGTCACACAAGAGGAACCATGAGCTGGGTCCTAATTCAGCCAGATAAATCCATAGCTTTTGAGGAGTCAGGCCCTGAGTGCTAATTAGTGGTCAGTTTAGAAGCCCATCTCTAATGCCATACCCCAAAGCCGCCTTTGCCCATAGCCTTAACCTCCTCCACATATTTATCAGCAACTTGGATGAAAACATCAGAAGGCTGTTTATCAAATTCAAGAATAATAAAACACTGAATGTCATAGGGATGGCTAAAACATTAGGTGAACAGATTAAAAAATCCAAGAGAGAACAAAGCCAACTGGATTGAAATTTAATATAACCAGTATTAAAATCTAGCTTTTAAAAACAGCTATAAATTATTAACTGTATATAAGCATTATGTAGAACAAAATTTATAGTTAAAAAAATTTGTTACATTTCAGAAAACAAGTATGATTATCTTCCAACTACTGTGAATGTGTGCTCAGAATTGGTGAAGCTAGTTTTCTGCATGCTTGTGTCATTCTGGGTTGTAAAGAAAGGTAAGTCCTGAAGTGGTACTCTATACTTGTTAAAAATCACAGAATCAAAACATTTTAGAACTGAAAGGAATATTCAGTGTCATTTAGTCTAGCCCACTAATTTTATATGTATGAGGACACTAACATAACAAACTTAGGTATGATTACTGCTGTTTTGCAAGTGGAGAAACAGGCCCAAAGAGAAAATGTTACACAATGGTGGGTAGGAAGGGGCAGGGCCAGGACTCCAGCCCACATTTTCCTCGTGTCTTGGCCATTGCTCTGCCGTGTTACTTGTTCCTTTGTTGGGTCACACAGCGAGTTAGTTTTTATTCAAATTCAGGATTTTCTAAATCATGGCTGTCTGATTTGATATGTAGCATATTGCCAAAACAGCCCCCATTTCCTACAGGGGAGGTACTATAGTGGATTGGAGTCAGAGAGACTATATTCTGGGGTAGATTATTTTAACTTCCCTGACTTCTAATTTCATCAATTATCGAGCAGAGATACTCATCCCTTCCTCACATCTAAAACATTTGGCCTTTTGTGGCTCTTCATATGTATTATGTATTAATTCTCCACCTTAGTTCTCCAATTCTTGAGCCTTAGCACATTCTATTCTTTAATCTGCCCTCACATGTGAGGTAAACAGAATTTAAAGTATTAACGGTCTTTTCCAGGAAGATTTCTTTTTATTCTTAAAAGTTTCAATTTGTGCAAAGTTTCTAGTTGGAATACATTTCTTAATCTCATGAAATTTATGTGTTATTTGCAGGGCTTATATTTAAATTTTCTATTTTTGCAGGTTATTTTACATTCTCTTGTTATGGTACCTTCCTAAGGTTTTGGAAATCTGGAGATGGGATCATAACTCATATGAGGATTAGTAAAATTCAGTTTTCTCTACTCCTACATTATAAATTTTTGCCTGGTATCTTCTTTTCCTGATCCCCACCCCCCCACCCGAGGGGGAAGAAAATCCCAGCATAAATACTTGATTTTTTTTTTTCCTCTATATTCTAACATTTAGCTCTCTCTCTTGGCTTTAGGCTCTCATAGTAGTAAGAGAAACCTTAAGTATCCTGAGATGTTCCAAGTGATGTTTCAAGTTAACAGGAATTAGGTATTCCTAAGGGTGTTGCTGATTGTCAGTGATGAGGCAGGGTAGTTGGTGGGTTGAAGAAAGAGAGACAATATGAAATCCTACATTGCCTTTGATTTCTTAAGGCTAATAGTCACTGATGAAAGCAAGTTCATAAAGCCTCTTTCAAAGAATTGTATCAGTAATCAAATACAACTCTAAAAATATGGGCATTCTCATCAAGATCCTTTGTTTATTGCTGTCTTTCTTTCTTTAGAAGATCATCAAAGTAGAAACTTGAGATGTGCTTCCTGGAAGGAGTTCTCTAATTTCATGAAGTGGTCCATCCCTGCCTTTCTTTATTTCCTGGATAATTTGATCGTCTTCTATGTCATTTCCTACCTTCAGCCTGTAAGTAAATATGATAGATAATAGCACTGGAAAAATACAGAGAAATGAATCCCAGAACTAGTCTTTTTTATCATTTTCATTGTCAGTGTTAGTTTCTCTTTGCCCCCAGTGGTCTTCCTGAGGTTTGACCAGAATCATCTGAATACGGTACAATCTGCTTGCCACATTCTCTCTCTGTTAAAGATTGCTGTAGAAAGCTGTGCTGACTGGCAGGAGCTGGTCCCTGGCCAGTGAATGTGGAGCCATCTCTCTGTGTGTAACCTTGGTTAGTCTGCCTGTTTGCTGAGCCATCCTATGGTCGCCAGCCTCCATTAACTTTAGCATTTAGTACCTCCAAACAGATTTCCATGATTAACTCAGAAAATCATGTACTCAGTGCACTACTTTGTCCTATACCTGCTTTAATGTAGTATATGCATTCTGTTTGTATGATCTTTTTTTTTTTCTATTAGTTTTTTCTATCATTTAACCAACAAGTTCCTTAAGAGTAGAAAATACATTTTCCCAGCTATAAATGCTATCTATACCTGATAATACTAGGGATGTTTCTCATCCCTCTTGGCATCCTCCATGCCAATTGAGAAATCCATTTGTAATCGGAATTAAAATTTGGTCTCCTGCTTTTATATATTACTCAGTTTCGGGCATGTGTATATTTTCCCCTAATATTTTATAAAATGATGATTTCTATTGCCATTGTTGCCAAAATGTGTTTTAAGTTTCTTTAAAGAATATATGCAGGCATTTTGATGATAAATAGGATTTTTATTGGCACTCGTTCTCTATCTGAAGCCTCTTAAATATAGCCAAATCAGTTTGAGAGTGGGACAAGAAGGAGAGATCAGTAGAGCACTAAGTAGAAAACAGGAATTTGATTCTTTTGCACAATTTAGAAGCTGTGTAATTAAGCAACCCCCAACTACTGTGTCAGTTGCCCATCTGTAAAATAGAATAACATTAGAATACCATACCAACCCAAAGGCAGGAACCTGGGCCGGGTGATCACCTGAAGTTCCTTTCAGCTGTGTGATCCATGTTATTAGTAAGTCTTGAATATTAGAATGTGTTCTCTCTTAACATTCTTCCACTTTGTTTTTCAGATCTGAGAATTCCTTTACCCAACAACGTAATTGTTTGCATCAATGAGTACATAGTCGTTGTATTTTATTTAGATCAGCTCTAAATTTATATCCCTTTCCTCTGTCCTCAATATGAAAGCAAGATTGCAGCTTCCTTGGTCTTCCAGCTTATTGCTTTGCTCTTCCTTCCTGATTGTGCACAACCACAGATATTACAAAATCAGTCACATGGCATATTCTGTATATTGCTGTGCCCAAGTCTAGTTGGAAAGAGTTAGAGATGCATGGAAGTTTTGGGGCAAAGAGCTCTGGTGTTTTGTTTATTCTCTGCTCTGGCATGGAAAGCAGTCTCAGAACTCACCAGGGCAGCCAGGCTGCTTGGTTAGGTGATGTGCACCGTTATTGTGATCGATCAGAGCCACTGCCCCCTCCCTCTCACCAGCCACTTACTTTCCTCCTCAGCTCTTACTCTTCTCCTACGCAGGGGTTCATAAACATTCGTCTCCAGAGGACACTGAGAAATCCTTAAAACAGTGCTTCCCATAAGAAATTCAATAGAAAAACAACAATGTTGTATTCTTGGAATTTTTGCTGGTTTTTATTGGATTTATTCTTATTTCTTTAAATCACCTACACGGTAGCCATGTTTGCTGGTTATATAAGACTACTGAAAAATACTCTTTGGAGTTCAGTCACCTTAAACTGACAGGAAGGAAAAAGGCAGGGTGAAATAAACAAGTAGGATTTGTTTTGAAAAATTGTTAATATTGTCAGATCCAATCATGGGGAGCAATGATGAAATTTCATACTTTCTGAGCCAAAATATATACATGTTCAGATTAATATCTCATATGTGAAATATGACTGAATTCATGAAAAGAGACCTTTATGAAATCTGGCTAACACATTTCTAAGTGTTGAGAACAATATGAATAAATCAAAGGACTGTCAAATACGAGTTTGGTATTGAATTACTGGTACTGAGTCACTGCAGTTCAACCAGGAGAACTGATTGAATTGCTACAATAGTAAAGATGCTTAAAAACCTGTACCTCAATTTTCTTACTGTGTAAATGGGCCTAACACTCCTTGCCTTCCCTCCACCCCTGGAAATAGTGTGAAAAGTCTATAAAGCACTTGAAGAGCTTGAAAAAGTATACTTCATAAGCAAGGTAGCTGTTATTTCTAGACCTGAACATTTAGAGTTTCTAAGCATTTCCAGATCTGCATATACAGATTATTTACACAGGGCATTTGCTGAATTTAAGCATGTTTTCAAAGCCTATACAATAATTTGGTCATATCTGCATACGTTTAACAACCAATAAAAATGGAATTTAATCCTCTAGTGAAATAGCTGCCCTAATAACCCCTCAGGTTTTTGCCCAAAAAGCTCTTTTTATCAGGTGAACCAGAGAGCTGGGAGATTTCTGAAGTCGCTACTTTGTTTGGATTGTAACTCTATCTTCTCCTTCTTTCTAGGCCATGGCTGTTATCTTCTCAAATTTTAGCATTATAACAACAGCTCTTCTATTCAGGATAGTGCTGAAGTAAGTAACTAGCTCTGATATCATATATCATACTTTAAAACGGCACAGCCTTATTTTAGATAATATACCTAGAGCACTGAGCCCTCCGAATCCCAGGGCCGGGATTTTATTCCTAACTGGCTTTGTGTTTTGGACAAATTGTTTAACCCATCTAGAAAGCAGCTCCAGTGCTGGCCCGTCTAAATCTTTGCAACTAGATGTATGAAAAGTTTTTTCTTAGCGTCTCTGGGACTCCTGGGTGTCTTAGTAGGTTAAGCATCTCAAAAAAATAAATAAATAAATAATTGACCAGCTTATTTTAATTTTTAGTGCCAGATTTTCAACAAAGAATTCATGAGCTTCCCCCTCCC